TATGAGGTCCTCACTCTCTGCTTGCTTCCCTTTCCTTTTATCTCATGTAAGATAAAAGGTGGTGCAGGCCACACCGCAGGGAAACTCCCTTTACATTGGATCAGGGATGTGACCTTAGTAAGTGTATTACAGTCCCACCCTAATCCTCTTTAACATAAAATTATAATCACAAAATGGAGGACAACCACACAATACTGGGAATCATGGTCCAGCCAAATTGATACACACATTTTTGGGGGGATATAATTTAAACCATCACATTCCACCCTTTGGCTCCCCCTAAAAATCACATGCTTGCAACATGCAAAACGTTCATCCCATCATATCATAGCAAAAGTCTTAACTCCAAGTCCAAAATCCAAAAATTCCTTTTCATCTGTGAAATCTAGAATACAAGTTATCTACTTCCAAAGGTACAATGGCAGAACAGGCACAAGCTAGACATTTCCATTACAAATAGGAGAAACTGGAGGGAAAGAAGGGATAACAGACACCAAGCAAGTCAGCAGAACACATTACATTAGCCCTCAAGACTTTGAAAATAATCCTCTGTTCTATGAGACAATTTACACAATGGCCCTGCCCTCCAGACTCTAGGTATTAGCTACAGTCTCCAAATTCTGAGTTGGAGGCCCCTCGGCCCTGGGTTTCAGCTCTGGCTTCCAGGCCCACTGGGTAAGCAGCTCTGCTCCCTCGGCTTTAGGTGGCCTCATTCTCCCAGTCCATATGAGTGGCAAATCCACCCTTAGAAACAACAGAGGCCATGGCTCCACCCTTTGAAACCCCAGAGGTCAGGGCCATACCTTTTGAGACTGAGGCGACTTGGCTTCTTGTGTTCCTTGTCTACTCAGCTTCTGCTTCCTGTGGCCTCTTGGCCCTCGGGCCTTACTCTCACGTCTGCTCTGCTGGGGCAAGTGTTCCAAAGCTCCGTAGCGCCACTGCTAAGTGCCTGAAGGCACCCCACTCCACCAGGAAGCCTCTGACGCACAGGCACTCAGCTCTCTCACTCTGTGGGTCTGCTCCAGCGCCTTCTCGCACTGGTCTGCTGCTGCCGGTTCTCTGCTTCTGCTGCAGGTTCTCTGCTGCTGCTGGTCCTCTGCCACTGCTGGTCCTCTGCCACTGCTGCTCCTCTATCCATTCACAGTTTCAAAACCGCTTCCACATTTTAGGTATCTATTAGAGCAGCACCCCACTCTCTCAATACCAAATTCTGTCTTAATCATCTAGTACTGCTATAGGAGAAGTACCATAAGTGGATGGCTTTAACAAAGAGAAATTTATTTTCTCACTGTCTAGTAGGCTAGAAGTCCAAATTCAGGCCGTCAGCTCCAGGGGAAGTCTCTCTCTCTCTGTCGGCTCTGGAGGAAGGTGCTTGTCATCATCAGTCCTCCCCCTGGACTGGGAGCTTCTCTGCACAGGAACCTCGGGTCCAAAGGATGCACTCTGCTCCTTGGTGCTTCTTTCTTGGTGGTATGAGGTCCTCAATTATCTACTTGCTTTCCTTTCATCTCTTGTAAGATAAAACATGATGCAGGCCACACCGCAGGGAAACTCCCTTTACATTGGATCAGGCATGTGACCTTAGTAAGGGTATTATAATCCCACCCTAATCCTCTTTAACATAAAATTACAATCACAAAATGGAGGACAACCACACAGTACTGGGAATCATGGTGCAGCCAAATTGATACACACATTTTTTGGGGGGACATAATTCAAACCATGACACCGTCCTTCCTTCCTTATTTCCTTCCTTCCTTTATTTCCTTCCTTCCTTCTTTCCTTCCTCCCTTCCTTCCTTCCTTCTTTCCTTCCTTGCTCTCTCCCTCCCTCCCTTCTTCCTTCCCTCCTTCTCTCCTTTCCCTTCCTCCTTCCCTCCTTCCTTCCTTTCTGTTAAGATTCTGATTGCCTTTAATTTTTAACTTATTAGGAAAAAGAACATTTTTTTTATCATATTATTTATAGCTTCCAGATTCTTCCCTACTTTACTTTTCACTTAGAAATGATTCCATCGTTCTTTAAGTCTACTGCTTCCTGCTCTATTTTGAACTGTTCACTGGTTGTCTTGTTGCCTTTATTTTTTCCTGAATTCTATCTGAGTCCCTGGGTGGTTCAAATGGTTAATGCACTTGGCTGTTAACTGGAAGGAGAAAGGCCTGGAGATGTAGTTCTAAAAAATCAGCCACTGAAAACCCTAGGGAGCACAATTCTACTCTGACACACATGTTGGTCACAGTGAGCCAGGTCGACTCGACCAGGCAACTGGTGGTATTTAAGCCTCAAGTTCTTCAAATGTCTCATCCTTTCTCTTATTTCTATGGCGTCTCTGCAGATATCCTTCTGCTTTTCCTCCCTCCTTCTGCTTTCATCTCTACTGGTTGCTTTTTATTTATGCTCCATTATAATTTCAAGATGCCATATTCAGCACTGTGCTGGCAAATGTTTAACAGCAGAATCTCAAAAAAAAAAAAAAAAGAAAACAGCTTTGATTCTTGGTGTTTCCTGATTTCTATGCTGTAAATACCCCATCATGACCAATGTCAAATTACCAACTTGACACCATTGACCATGGTGTTGGGAAGAGGTGCAGAATCAGGGATTACCAGCCAGAGCCAGCACCCTCCAGCACACCACTGATCAGAATATTTTTGACAGAGATAGTTCTAAAAGATAGTCAAACTCTTTCTGAGTTAACAAAGCAATGTGGATATAATTTAACTTCTTTTGATGACTGTGGGTTATTATTAATATCACACTTTAAAAGTGGTATCTCCAAAGGTTATGATATTTGGAGAGGAGATGTTTGTCGATAAGCTAAGTGACTAAGAAGCCTAAGAGCAAAATTTAATAAAATAATTAAGTAAAAAATAAAGTAGCATTCCGTTTATTTTTAAGGTTTTTTTTATTAGTTGACTTTTTAAAATACAATACCGAAATCTAGTTTTCATCATGTATAAAGTTGTCATAGCTGCCCCAGCTTGATTCTTGATATGATTTCCTACATGTTTTTTTGATGGCATTTTGTGTTCTTATCTCAAGCCACCCCCAATCCATTTTTAAGTTCTCAGGGAATAAATAATAACAAATAGAGAAATGGATTGTCTTCAATAAAGAATATAGACTTCTAGTAAGTGACATTAATTAGGCTTCTCTTTCATTGTGTATTTTCTTTAATATCATAAAAGAGAATGCTTTCCATGCATTTCTTGACAGAAAAGAAAATGGGTTTTTCTCTGTTTGAAAAGTTCACTCTAAAGGTTTTCGTGATGTGCAACAGCTTTAAAATAGGGCTGCTTTTCAAAACGAATTGCCTGAAGCTGCTCTTGAGGGTTTCTCCTCCCCCAGCCCCCAGCACATCCATCCGTTCTGTTTGGATATTAAAAGGAAAAGAAAGTGCATATTTATACCATTGATGGGCCAATAAATACAATGCTGCATTTTTAGGAGAAGGTTCCAGGGAACTAATTAGAGTCCCTCCCAAGCAGTGACAAACAGGGATTGAAAAACATGGGTGTCTCTACATATATTGCTCTGATTATTTGTGCATTAGCCATTTCTGTACTTCTTCCCATTTGTGAACGCAGGAGATGGTGACACATCTCTTAATGATCAGAAGATACCCACGAAAGGAATGTGGTTCTGGTGCGGCTGTCTTCAGGCATTTGCTCTTTTTCTTTTCCTCCGGTTTGCTGAAGGTGAATCTTAACCAAGGCTAGATTCAGCTTACTGGATGGAAGGCATTCCTTTATGTCCAAGGAAATTAAAGCTGTTCAGGCATACACCTGCTACATAACGAGAAAAACACCTAGGGTGCTATTTTCATTTCAAGCCTGCAGCTTCTAGTGCCATCAATATGGCTAATGGTTGGCTCATTTCATTAGAATTACTAATCTATCAAAGTAAAATTTAAAAATATTAATCTGAAATGTATAAGATTAGTGTCCAAATACAGCAGGTGGGATTGTAAAAATTTTAGCTAGAGAATACAACAAATGTCATTTTTACCTCATAATGGCACTGTTGGTATTCATTGGACTAGATGAAATTTATCTGCTTCAGCATAAATTCTTTTAAGTACATTTTAATACATTTTGGAATTGTTTAAAAATGTATATAATGAAAATGTAATAAAGGGCGGCATTACTATGGCTCCCTAATTTTTATTTGGCTCTTCGCAAAGGATTTTACCCAATCTGAGATGAGTTTTCATATAGGTGGTCCATTTCAGTAAAATGCAGTTTAAAGGGACATTTTAAGTCTAGATTTACATCAGGGCTAGGAGCCCAGAATTAGTAAATAAGTAAGCTTCATTTTGAAGAAATGGTTAGTCATTATCATCATTGAGAGTCTAGTGAGAGGAAAAGAAACAAAACAAGATCCGTTTACTATGTATTTTGTATTTGTGCATAGGGAGGCAGGGATGGGTAGGAGTTTGTTTTTCCCCAAATTAGTACTAGTTCTAGTGTTGCAAACCTGGAATTATTGTTCCAAGTATGGCATATTAAGCCAATCATTTTATTAAAAATAGCGATGAATTCAAGTCATAACTTGTCAGCCTGGCTTTGCTACCATGGAAAATGATTTAAGGAGTATATCCCTAGCTCTCTAGATAGCTTTGGAGCCCTGGTGGCACAGTGGTTAAGAACTTAGCTGCTAACCAAAAGGTCAGCAGTTCAAATCCACCAAATGCTCCTTGGAAACTCTATGGGGCAAGTCTACTCTGTCCTATAGGGTCGCTATGAGTCGGAATTGACTTGATGGCAGCAGGTCTAGATAGGTTTAAGACCTATTTCATACCTGAAGTCATAATGCTCAAATATTTTCTGAGAGAAGTTGCATAAAACAGTACATGAAATAGATATCAAAATTCTAGTGAAAATGATGTCCTTAAGTGGGGTTGAAATTAAATACGCAGACTTTTCCTAGCAGTGAATTAGGTATTAAAACGCTATGATTATTCTTGGATTAGATGCTAATGGACTCCCTTTGCTTTATTGTAGCTCTCAGCACTAGAGAGGCAGATCTTTGACTTCCTTGGCTTCCAGTGGGCTCCTATTCTTGGAAATTTTCTACATATAATAGTCGTCATATTGGGTTTGTTTGGAACCATTCAGTATAGACCTCGATACATTGTGGTGGTAAGTCATTTTTATTATGTCTTTTCATATAAAGACTACAAAAAAAGGGTACTACATATAAAGAGCATGAATAAAATAATTTAAGTCGTGCCTTCTAATGTGATGTGGCATTTCAGTTAATTCAAATATTGAATTCTGCTAAGAGAATTTTATTAAGAGAATTCTGTTAAGAGATGATGATTTATCTGTGGGAAAGACAATACATTGTTTTACAGTGAGAGTAAAGTAACATGACAGCAGGTGTGAAATGACATAATATGACTCACAGCATAACTAAATTCAAATTTCATGAAGAAATCTATAATGAGGTTTGGATAGAGTAGGAGATCTGCTTGGCATCTTGATGTTATCATAGGACATAAATATACATTAACTATCATTTCAATGACATATGTCAGTAATCCTAAAAAGAAAACCTATGCAGGCATATGGGGCAGTGCTACTATGTTGTGTGGGGTCTCTATAAATTGGAATGGACTCCATAGCACCCAACAAGAACAATACAGGCATAACTGCTTAATTACTGAAAACAAAAATATGATTTAGTTTTAATTGATACAGGAAATTATAAATCCCTGTACTGGAGGCTATTTAGTATATTCCCCTAATGTATTTTATACTATATATTATTGAATATTTCTCCATTTTGTTAAAATAAATATGAAATATAAATTCATACCCCAAACGATGCCAAATATGGTCAAGACATATTCCATTGTTGGAGGATTTAATAAAGTGTATGCTATGACCAGGAACTCTGGCAGTGCAGTGGTTGAAGCACTCGGCTGCTAACTGAAAGATTGGCGGTTCAAACTCACCAGCCATGCCTTGGAAGAAAGACATAGAATCTGCTTCCATAAAGATTTACAGCCTTGGAAACCCTATGGGGCAGTTCTGCTCTGTCCTGTAGGGTCACTATGGGTTGGAATCGACTTGACAGCAGTGAGTTTGGTTTTCTTTTTTTTATGCTATAACCCACAATCTAGTGGAAATTATTCATAGTAATTAATTTTCTTTTTTTATAAAAAGCAATATTTTAGGCTACATGTGTAAGAATGTTGTGAGGAATAACAAGCATGTATAAGTGATTGTACTCTAAAATACTCATTGAACCTGAATAAACTTAGTGTTCAGTAGAATTACTAAACATTTGCCTCACTAGGGGAAAATCACAGACTTAAAAAATATGTCATCTTTCTATTTTGGTTTAATCCAATCCCATCTGTCTGAAAGATTAAAGTTACAAATGTGTCTGTAAATAAACAACTCTCTATTCTCGAATCTCAAAATTAGCTTTTTGCAATCTTTCATCACATCACAGAGTGAAGGTCACAGGACCTCAGAACAGACTGTGCTCAAAATGGAATCCCCTGGGGCACTCGGGAGATGTCATTCAGCTTGCTGAGGGGGCTAAGGAATATCTGTTTTACTTTACTTTCCTTCTCTAAAAGGTAGTCTTCTGCTAAACTAATCTACTGAAAAAATGTTTCTTGGAGTTGGGCTTGCAGCCTAAGATGCTTTAATATCATGCATAATATCAAATTACTCATGAATTCTAAATATGTTCTAGTTAGGTGATGAACACCGAAATGTGTTCTATCTATGGACATAAAGCACTTTTACTAACCACAGGCTTTTAATTGTGTGATATTTTACTATATTGGAGTCTTGCTGAACTACAAAATGCCAGATGGCCGTGAAACCAATGTCTTCTATAGAATGAGGCTATTGGTTTATGTAAAAATGGCATGAGGCACTGTCTGACCTCCTCTAACTTCACAGGGAGAAGGAGACTCAAGATCAAGGCAAAGGTCAAACATACCTTCTCTCTCCACCATCTTTACCAAGTCTGACACCACCCATCCCTCCCAGAGCACTTTCTACTGAGTCTGATAATTCATTACAATGGCTACACAGAACTCACAGTCAATACTCATGATAATGGGTTTTATTAGGGAAGTAACAGGTTACAGTTAAGTCTCAGGAACCCTCAGGATACAGTTCTTCCATCAGGACAGCCTCTTTCCAGCTGTGCTCGCAGACATGCCTCTCCCTGGCCCTCAGTCTCTGCCCAAAGGCACTCAGCTTTCTTGCTCTGTGGGCCTGGAAGCCCACTGCGCTGTCTTCTACCGGTCTCTCCTTCCTTGGTGGTGGTGAGCTCCTCTCTTTCCTGCCTCTGGGATGGCTCATTTCAAGCCCAGCAAGATGGGCCACAATCCCTTTGGTGGGCCACAATTACCCTATCACACAGTCCCACCCAATCGCCTGGGTGGGAGTTACAGGACCATGGCGAGAAAAGCCACACAAAAGCGATCCATTACACTGCATTAGTGACATTAGCTAATTCTCTTGATTTTACCCTCTAAATATTAGCCTTACACACTTTTCACACATCTTCTGCCTTGGCTGAGACTTCTGCCTTCTCTTTCCAATGTATAGACTTCCTGCTTGTTTTCCTGTATGTGGGCTTTCCTCTCTATGGACTTTTTGCTTTCTTTCAGCCTTTCTCCCTTCCAGTGAATGTTTTGCACTTTTCCCAAACAACAAAATTCACCTGCTTAAAACTCTTCACTGGCTCCTTTGTATCAGCAGGATAAAATCTAAGAATATTCTTGCCTGATCCACCTGACGAAACTCATGTCTCACAACTCTCCTTCCTCCCTCCTTCTCTTCCCTCTTTCCTTTCTTCCAACTCTTTCTCCCTCCCTTCTTTCTTTTCTACATTTCTTCCTTAGTTTTTCCATTTATTCATTTGAAACATATTTATTGAATTTTTATTATGTATTAGGCATTGTGTTATTGTAGAGCACATTGATGAGCAAAATACAGACCTATTCCCTGCCTCCTGGGCACTTACCTTACAGTCTAGTGAGGGGAGGAGTGCCTTTATCAAATAATCATCCATAGTGTCTTAGTCATCTAGTGCTGCTATAACAGAAATACCACAAGTGGATGGCTTTAACAAACAGAAGTTTATTCTCTCACAGTCCAATAGGCTACACGTCCAAATTCAGGGCATCAGCTCCAGAGGAACACTTTCGCTGTTGGCTCTGGAGGAAGGTCCATGTCATCAATCTTCCCTTGGTCTGGGAGCATCTCAGCGCGGGAACCTTAGGTGCAAAGGACGTGCTCTGCTCCCGGCACTGCTTTCTTGGTGGTATGAGGTCCCCATGTGTCTCTGCTCGCTTCTCTCTGTTATATCTCAAAAGAGACTGGCTTAAGACACTATCTAATCTTGTAGACCTCATCAGTATAACTGCAGACAATCCATTTTATTACATCATAGTGATAGAGTTTACAAGACATAAGGAAATCACATCAGATTACAAAGTGGTACACAATCATACAGTACTGGGGATCATGATCCAGCCAAGTTGACAGATATTTTGGGGGTACACAATTCAATCCATGACACATGTTAAATTGCAACTGTGGTGAGTGTTACAAAGGAAAACATTATGCCATGAGGTGTATAATGGGGGAGCTGACCCTGGTAGGATGGTGAGGGGAGGCATCCTGCAACAGGGACTGCAGAGCTGAGTCCTGCAGCAGGAGTGGGAGTTCACCAGGGAAGACAGGAGAGCAGGGGTTCTGGGCAGGAAGCACCACAGGGCACCCAGGAGGAGGTCAATATTAGGTAGTTCCTATTCATTCATTAAACATTTATTGAGGACCTACAGTGATAATGCTGGATAAATAGAGAAAAATGCAAATTCCAGAGTCCCTGCTCTCCAGGAACTCATTTTGTAGGAAGGGAGGAGGAGCTGGTCCAGGCTTTCTGGAGATGATTGGAATGACAGTGAAAGAGGAAGAATAGCAATGCAGCAGGGGATTGGGGAAGACATGGGCAAGGTTTGACACTACAGCATCCTGTACTTTCTGTTCCTACCTGCCCCTCCAGCCTCCTTTTGCTCTCCTAGCCTTGCCTGGCATTTTTACCCTAGCTCTAGGGATCTTTTCTTGGTCCCTCATGAATGCCTCCTTCCATTCGCTTTATAATTAGTCACTCTATGCTCCTTTGCCTCTGTGTCATGAGTATGTTTTATGATTTCAATTATCATATTGGTTTATAATTCATTCACATTTACATCTTTTCTACTAGCCAACGAGTTTGAGAATGTGGAATATAATAGGTGCCCGTTGACTGAATAAGGAAATAACAATTACTGAGCTTCTAACATGTGCTGGGTCTTAACATATCAGTAATTCTCTGGTTATATTCATGAAATTTGGAAGACATACAGGTGGATTCCACTCACCATAAAGAGTCTCTGTATTAATAACAATAAACACATACTGAATGTTGCAATATAGTTCTTTGTTTTTCTCATCTAGTTAACCTATCAGTTCACAGAGTCCATTCTCAATAGAAAGATGGTGTCACTTCTCTGATATCTTTTCCTTTGCTTCCCTTTCTCTCCTCTCCTTCCCGGGTTTAGATGGAGGTAGCTTTAGGTCTTTCAAAATCTTCAAAGAAAAATATCTATAAGACAAACAAGCTATGTTTTTGCTCATATTGATCAATTCTTTCAGTGTGTTGTGCCAACCAAATCTCTATCTCCTTATATGATATTTTATTCAAAACCCTCTCCCAGGAAGAGAGAGAAAGAAAGCAATGAATTGGAGAAAAAAAACCCTCCAAGGCAAACATGTCATTAGACTTAACCCTCACAAATATTCTATGAGGCATGTATTAGCATCTCTAATTTTACAGACAAGGTAAAAGATTAGAAAGATTGAGTGACTTGCCCAAAGAACACAGATAGTAAATAGCAGAACTGGGAGTGAATATGCCCCACTTCCATTAGAGTTAATACTACGTTATCATGATGTGTGTTTGCTTCTACTACCTGACTCCAGATGATATGGTGCCATTGTCAGTGTAAGTTTTGGTATTGGAAAAGGATCCTGCCCTCCCTCCTCAGCTGATCATAGAATGCCCTTACCTGTGTGGGGTTCCAGATTGACTGTCTTTCTAACATGGGTATAAGTTGTCTATT